TCCGATTGCCCGAGAAGCTGGCTCCTTGTTCTCCAACCTGCTTGATTGAGCTTGGCTGGGAAACTGGCTTTCCAGCCAATCAGGAAGCCAGACAACAAGTAAATGACCCTGACTCCATGTTCCACTACGGCACTGTCAATCAGAGGATATCTTCCTCTGACCAGAAGTTCTGGTATCGGAGCATTTGGGTGAGTACTCGCCCATATACTAGTATTGGTGCATCCCCAATAGCAGCCATAGTGCTGACAGATCTTGTGCAGTTTGCACAGTAAACTCGTGTCCATTAATTAGTGCTCAAACCATGCTTCCACTCCTCCACCTTAAAATGTATTGCCACTTCTGAAGTCAAATTTGGGAAAACCCCACTATATGTTTGCTTATGTGTTCCTATTCACACAGCACACCTAAAAATATTATTGATTTTTACCTTTAATGTAAAGTTCTGCGCAAACTGTTTGCGCCATATAAATCCTGTATAATATTATTATTAATACCTCTTAGATGTCCGTGTAGCAGTCTGCAAGCTTGTCCCTACAATTTCAAAGTGACAGGAAAACTGTCCCCATAAAAATATTAGGGACACTCTGAGACCCCTCTCATTAACAGAAAATGCTTCTAGATCTTGAACCCTTTGTAGGGACAGACCATGTTCAAATCAAGTTTACAACTGATAAGATCTGCCAGCCTCTTATATTCCAGAGGAAAATTCAATCTACAGAAAACCAATATGTAAGCTGCAATTTTTATTCTATGTGAATGGAACAAATATGAAATGGGCATTATCCCAATTTTGCTGCAAAATTTTAAATACTCTTTAGAACATCCGCCAATCGGGCTGAACGCACTGGCTGAAAGTGACCCCGGAAATAAGTCAGTGTGCGCTTGTTAAGACAAAGTTGGAACCTAGGTTTTATAAAATAACACAACTCATACACACACACACACACACATTTGTAGGTGGTTCATAGAAAACTTTATTTACTATTTATGGTACATTTACTGCACGTCTGAATGCTCTTTTACCTCTATTTTCAGCGTAGTATTTATATATTCATAACATTTATGAAAGGTGTACTTACTGAAGGAAAAACATACCCTTGCCCACATGTGTATTAGGTTGGGTTCACACCTAGGCGGCACCGTTTTTGGGCGTTTATACACGCGTTAACAGCATGCGGTTATTTGTGCGTTGTGCACATTTGTATGCGCGTTTTAAACACACATACATGAACACGCGTTTTGATTGGCAGCTCATAAACCATTGTGGGCAATATGAAGGTTGAGCAAGTTCCCTTTCACATGTGCTCCAGCCACTCCAATCAGCAGAGGATCCATGCACAGATCCCGGCTGATCCGAGGAGTATGGAATGGGAGTCACTTTTGTGACATGTGTCTGTTCAGTTTAAAAGGCGCAAAAACGCTCACGAAAATGTACAACATGCTTCTGTTGCGCATTTTTGGGCATTTTCAATGAAGTCTATGGAGCAAAGAAGCTCCTGTACCTTTTCGGGTGTTTGGCGTTTTTCTGCTCAGGTGTGAACCAGGGCCATTGACAATCATGGGATTTCTTGTTTTGGGCAGTTAAAAGTGCTTTTCGAACTGCTCAAACCAGACCTTAGGTCAGATTCACAATTGTGCCTTGCCGGAACAGTTAAATGCAGGGTAACAAGCGGACGTGTATATTACACGACCATTCTGAATGGTATTCCAATGCACTACATTACACCTCAACACACTGAATACTCCGTACACTGCTGTGAGCTGCGTTGTGGGGTTTTTTGTACATTGTGAGCCCATTCAAAATTATGCCTCTATGGATAAAATACAAAAATTTTTATGTGTTGATACACACGGAGGTATGTCTGCAAGATGTGGTAGCAGTGAAGAAAAATAGAGAACACTGTACTTTTATGTATTCGCTGCTTTAGGCTTCTAATCAAAATGAGACCAGTGTCATAGTCAAAGGCATTGTAAAAAAAAAAAAAAAATCTGAAATCTATATCTGCAATCCTGTTTCATGCCACAGGCTCAAAGCATTTCAAAAAAAGACACCGTCACCAGATCATTCAAGAAGAAAAAAATATTCCCATCAAATTATATGTGTATTTAAAGTATTTTACGCATGTTATTTATCTGTAAAAGCCTCTCTTGGGTAGACAACAGCAGGGTGCCACCATCTCGGATGAGGTATAAGCAGCCCCAGCAGAGGTAGTGCTGTCACTCAAGTGACACTATGGATTTCTACTTGGCTCCTCTTTTGGCAACTACGTAAACAATGTATAGCGATAAAGGGAGAGGGGAGGAGCTGGGCCAGCATTAGAAGAGTAATCAGACACTCCCAGAAGAGCATAGGGCTATGACATGCAAAGAGAAAGAGGACTGTGCTAGTACTAATCATGTTTCCTAGCAAGTTTAAAGGCATATTACAAGTAAATAAACATTAATGGAAAGGAAAACCTGTAGTAGCAAGCATTTAAAAATACTTGTTTTTATTCTGTGCAGGTACCTGTAATTGTATAAGTTGGTGACAAGGTCTCTTTAACCACTTCAAGACCAGGTGTTTAGACCCCCTTCCTGGCCAGGCCATTTTTCAGTATTCAGCGCTGCGGTACTTTGACTGATGTTTATTCCGTCATGCAGCACTGTACTGAAATGAATTTTATACCATTACAAAGATCAGCTTCACAACCAGGTAACTGGCATTTTCAAAAGCAGAGGTCAGAAACAGCTGTCTCACACTTCTATGACAGGTCTCTTACCAAGATAAGAATAGGGGCCACCATTTACTCCGCCAGCATTCAACTGGCATCCTTCTGTCTTACAAGAAAAGGAGAAGTACAAACTTTAGCTATGAACAGTACATGTCAATTCCTGGGAATGCAGGTATCAAGCAGTGATCTGCATTAAATATGCCAAGATTATAATGACACTTATGTATAGCAATTCAAGTTTAGCCTATTTATGTCCAATTAGAAACCAGGATATTTAGTTCCACATACTTGGTTTCATTCCTTTACTAATGAAAGAAAACTGACCATACTAAAGCAACTTAAACTCCACACTTCACTTTGTGGTCTCATCTAGTTCCATCTACCTGGGAAAAACTACAAAGGTAACTGTACATATAATGATGTTATTCATTCACTCCCCCTTCTCATTCACTCATACAAATTCGGATAACTTATAACTCCAGTGATAAAGTATTCAACTTTAAGGACCACCAGAGTTAAAAAATATAAATACATTTATTTTTGTAAATAAGCGCAGATACGGTTTAACACATAACATAGCATTGCCTATCAAACCCATTCAGCTCTTAGCATTTTGTTTTAGGATTACTAACATGAACCTCATTGGGTGGACAGCTCCAGCCCTTTCCTTAAATCCAAGTATAAAAGAAATCTGTATGCAGTGATTAGCCAAATAATCCATTTCATTGTGCTTCTAATAAGGAAATATCTAAATAAAAGTTTCCATGAAAACACCTAGCAGTGAATAATAATAATAATAATAATAATAATACTAATAATACCTTACGGCCTATGCCAAAACTAATGTAAACTGAAATTCTCTTTATAAGCAGCTGTAGAAAAACATGAACTTTACATTAGGTGCCCAGAGTCCATGCCAATTGCAGAAATACAATCAGGCTCTCTATACAGGTGACAGCAACCCTGACAAAGGATGTGTTTCAACATCAGTTACAGTTATGCAGCCTACAGATGGGTAGTACATGTTCAGTCAGAAATAGACAGTCCATAAATAGACAGACACATAAAAAACATGCATTGCACTTGCGGTTCCACTACTTGTTAACAGTGTCAGAAAAATGCACATTAGAGGCGCACAAATGCACAGGAAAACCGCAGGAAGCTCAAAGCGGAAAATTCTGCATGAACTTCTTTGCCGCATTTGTCACACCTGCGGCAGCTTACTGAATCATATGGGCGACATGCGGCAAAAGACGCACCTAAATGCGTGTGAACGGGGCTTTACTGCCCTCTTCACTGATTCCACATAGCGCTTCTTCTGGCACTGTGACTGCACGTTCCAGCTTTTATACAGGAAAGGGATCATATCATTCACCCTATCTTTTCCCCTTATTGACTCACAAAATGTGTTCTGTGAATGGACAAGGGGAGATTCTACTACTTACCGGCCCCCTCCCCCTTGTCTATTCACAGAACGCCAGGTATGATTTGTATAAGTAAATGGCAGTGATCCAGGCATAGGATGATCATCACAGATAACATCATTTGACTTGTGGGAGTTGAAAAGTAAAAAACCTTCCCTGGAGTTTAAACATTTTGTTTGCAGTTTTTCTAACAATCCATATAGTGAAATGAAGGAAATAAAGTCTTCCTATGCGATATACATTATATATAGGACACACTATTCTACTGGAAATGTTTGTTAATGAATATCCTCCCAGCTAGCATCTGTTCTAAATTCAGTGACGGGGTTTTCTAGGTCTTTGGCACACCTCCTTTAGTAATGAGCACAACTGTCATACGAGACTGGCTGCTCTACAACACCCTTTCAGATACACAGTATGAAAATAACCAAGAAACAAAATTGGCTTATGGCATTTTTTTCACACAGACTTGCACACCAACTTTTCATTCTGCCATTGATCAGGTGCATCTGACTCATGAATATAAAGAAACACAAAATCAGATATACAATGTAAAAGTGTCACTGCTGGTGGTGGAGAGAAAGTTTGATGGCTCACACAGCATGGGGTGTTAATAAATCCTCTAAGGGGAAAACACATTGATTCTATTCACTATGTTATACCAATGTTTCTTGTTTTCACTATTCTACAATGACCTCTTAAACGTGAAATTTCTGTACTTCCGGATGAATTACATAAATTCAGATTTCAACACTTTACAAACCTGTCATTCAAGTGTGTCATTCCCTGGTACATAAACCGCAGATAAGTTCCTGGAAACATAAATGCATTTACAGTGTTAGGACAAATATGAAGCACTTCATACCTGTCATCCTCACCATCAACAGGAATAGATAAACCAAATACGGGTAAGTGAAGAGGGTTTGTTAGAGTGTCCGTGATAGGAACCTTCATAAAAGACTTCTCAGAAATCAGGGACATTGACGGCTGAGGTAGAGTTTCCGATTTTCTTCTGTCATCAATCTGACCAGCCAATGGTTGGGTCTGAAACTGACTAATGTTTGACTGTGGCAGACTTGTATTTACATTTGCTGTACCTTGCACTGGTGGAAGCCCAACTGTTGATATTAGGCTGCTACTCCTACTGACAGACGTATGGCTACTTAAGGGGGACTGTACAAAAGTAGCAGGAGCCATTGGCATAGTAACGGGAATAGGAGACACACTACACGATAGTCCAGAAACACCTGTACTAGGCACAGCCACGGGGACATTCTGCACTCCAGGGGTCATGGCATGTTGACTGCCCAAAATGCTACTCCCGCTTGCTTGCTGTTGCACAGCACCAACAGAGGACACGGTTGCCTGCGCCACACCTCCTCCTGCTTGCTGCATGTGAACCGGATGGCTCTGGGGAGTCTGCCCGCCCTGTGCAAGGCCTGATCCTTGGCTCACCAAGTCACTCATTTTAGAATGAAGACCCATAAGCTGTGCTCCACCGGCTAGCAAGTGCTGGCCTGGAAGACTGGATGGGGCCCCGGTACCCGCAACCAGGGACGTTGCAGCATTTGGAGTTGTTCCTTGCGACTGTGCAACTGTCCTGTGCTGCATGTACTCGGCTTGACCAGAGGCCTGGGTGACCATCATATGCCCCTGCTGGATCTGGGAGTAATTGAACTGCTGGGGCTGACTCAGAGTAACACTGGGCTGCTGATTGACAGGCAGGCTGGGGACATTCTGAGGGCCAGGGCCACTTTGAACTATATTCTGTGCAGGGATGTAAGCCTGGCCTTGAGGCACCATCATCTGCTGGGAGCTGATTGTAGCACCAGGGAGCAGGGGCTGAGTAGCACCCTGAGATACCACTCCACCTATGGCCTGCTGCCCAATGACAAAGTGCTGCTGGTTCATCTTGTCCGATTGATGCAGATGTGACACAGCAGTAAGTGAGCTGTCAGCTATAGAGTCCGGGGCATGTCCCATGTGCACGGCAGACGCCACTACGGAGCCCCCCGTGGCGCCCAATCCGCTGTCCCTGTCCGCAGAGTGATCGTAGGTGCTCGTGTGCCTGATGGTGTCCGCAGTCCTGGAGATTAAAGTGCCATCCGAGTCCTTGTCATAATACTCCGTGCACGTCCAGCGGCCCCTCCTATAGGGCTCCCCGGAGCTGTGGTCAAGTTTGATCACCCGGAAACGTGAGCTGCAAGTGGCCACCTGAGACGTGACCGGGCCGGCGGGCTGAGCTGGGGGGTGTTGGGCAGCAGCGGGCTGGGCTATGGTGGGGGCAGCAGCGGCAGGGGGAAGCTGGCTCGGAAGGCCCGTTGCCTGGCTGCCGATCCTGATGAGCGATCCCTCGTGCGGCACGTTGGGTGACATAGTCCCGGGGGTGTCGGCCTCTCCCACATTGTTCAGGGTCTCCTCGGACGAGCTCCTCTCCACCACCTCCTCGGGCCCGTAGTCAGTGGCCCGGGACACATCGAAGATCTCGGACGAGACGTCTTCGGTCCGGGATTCGTCAGGGTCATCCAGGCTCTCGGTATCCTCGGTAATGCTGTTAGCGGCCTGGGCCGTGGTCACGCTGGTGATCTGGAAGCAGCTCTTCTTCTTAGCCGGCATCTTGGACATGTTGGTGAGAAGGGGGCAGAGCCCGAGCGCGTTCCACCGTCCCCGGGGAGGCCACACGGACGAAGCGGCGGCTTCTTCTGATCACTGAGGACAGAGCGCTGCTAGCGCAGGCCTAACATCCCGACTGTGCTAGTGATCGGCGAGCGGTGCAGGCCTTCCAGGCCAGGCCTTCTCCTGTCACCAGAGACCGGGGATGCTGAGGAGAACAGGCCGCTGTCACACAAATGGCGCTACCGGCTCCAGCTTAAGTGTGAAGCCTGAGGAGGAAAGGGGGGAGGGAAGGGCCGCAGCTCCCCCGGCTCTCCCCTACCTGTACTCCAGAGCGGATGACATGTCAGGATTAGGATGTGGCGCTGCTGGGTACTCTCACTGTACACTGCGCTCAGAGGAAGTGAGAGACGCTGAGGAGGCTGGAAACTACAAGGGGGAGAATGTCTGTTAGTGACGACTGGCGCTCCTCCCTCCCGGCTTCCACCGCCCCTTCACTGAAATTCAAAACCCTTCTACGCCTCCCGTCCGCAAAATGGCCGCCAGGGGCACTGTGAGGAAAGACTTCTAGGAGGGCGGGGCTGCTGTGTTGGATGGCCGCCTTCTATTGGTGAAAATCGGGTGACGTCTGGCGGCGGGGCGTTGAGTGGCAAAAAGGGGTGTGTTCGGGAATGATGTTGAGGAGAAACCATTCCCCCTGGGACATTCTGGAGAGGGGGGTGGTTCTGGTGGTACATCCCGGGGCGCGTGCTGTGTCGGGCTGCAGTGCAGTGTTATTGGGGTTAACCCCTGCAGTGCCAAGCTATGTTATTGCCAACTTCTATTAGTAGTTGAAGTGTACACGATTTCAGAAGAAGGGTCAGCGATCATTTCCTGCTATTGCTCTTCTTCATACTACCAGAGGCATGGGCTGTCACTGCTGACCTCCTGAAAAATGCTAGTTGCCCTAGCTGCGGAACTTTATGTCACTGACTTGGAACAGGAGCTCCGGCTTTACTTAGTGCATGTTTGTTCTGGTTTAGAAACAGCCAGGCAGAGAGCATTTCCTAGGCTCAGCAATGAGAGTCTTCATAGCCTAGTCACGTTTCCTCCAATAACAGTTACCATTCCACAATATAACGCTTTCCACCCTATGGCAATGTGCATGTAGCATTCTGTATAATATTGCAGGATATGTATTAAAGGCCAACGGAACTATCAGTTATTCCATTGCAGGTGCAGCAAAACAAATGTTGTAAACTTGGTTTTCTATAGGGCCTGTTCACACCGGAGCGTTGCGATAAATGCGTGGGATCCGTCGGTTTAGCGCACGCTATCACACAGCACACAGTACCGCATGCTACTGCGCTGGTGCCTTGCATTGCCATCCATTCTCAATGGACCCTCAGTAACATGCATTGCAATTCATGTGATAAAAGTTGTAATGCATGCACCACTTTCCACACAACGTGGCAACGCAGCACGCGCTTTTGCAGCACTGTGTGCTGCACTCCAACACCCCCCCGTTAAAAGGTGTGTTGGAGTGTCATTGAGAATGAATAACGATGCAGCACATCTAGCGTGTAATGCAGTGTAAAAGGTGTCTGCTATACGTGTGAATCCTGAACATTTAACACGTTATGGTGTTAGAAAGCAGCCACTGTCTGTATAGAAAAGGCCGTCCCCTGTCAGCATGCTGCAGAGTGGGACCCTTGTTCTCTTCAGGTAGGCAGTGGTCTCTCTGCAGAGGTCCAAGCAGCCTTACCCATTACAGTCCCAACACATATACAAGGCAATTTGCCTTGTCCCCTATGATGGCGCCCTGCAGTGGCATGTGCTGAAAAAAGTAAGACATGCAGTACATGTTTAGAGGAAGCGCATAAAAACGCACTACATCTGTATTGCAACACGCCGTGGTGAATAGAAATGGATGAGATGTCACTTTGTGCAATTTCAATAAAGTTTAAAAAGTTTTTTAAAAAAAAGGTAAACAGTGCGATGCGCTGTGCTCAGCACATGGCGCCACTTCTTTCAGAGTGCACATAAAAAAATTGGCCCTCACCCCCAAAGCTGCATAGGCGCTCATACGAGGGCACATTGAGCGGAATTCATCATAATCTGGAGCAGTTGCCCATGGCAACCAATCAGCTTCTAGCTCTCATTTACAGAGCTTAACTGAACAGAAGAGAGAAGCTAATTGGTCACTACGGGCGACTCTTTCTGTTTTGATCAATTGCCTTCATTGTATTTATTATGTATTCTAATATATCAGCTACATGAGCAGATTTATCACAGTCCTGCAATGATGGGAATATTTTCCTGCAGTATAAACCATTAGAAGCTGCATTATCACTAAACAGCTGATAGTGTCCTCTTTATCTTTTTTTTCTAATGTTTTATTGATTGCTTTTATTACTAAAACCAACGTAAACCCATCAAACTGTCCCATACACACCCAGCAGAGCTAGGGAACAGTGCTAAAGGGTAAACATTCATCCACACAGGGAAGAGTCAAAGATACTATGGTGGGAATCTACCAAAACTAGAGCAGAGAGAACCTGGAGCAGTTGCCCACGGCAGCCAATCAGCTTCTCTCTTCAGTTTGGTAACTTAAGATTTGAAATTGAAAGAGAGAAGCTGATTGGTTGCCATGCACAGCTACTCCAGATTCTGTCTGCTCCAGTTTTGATAAATGCCCCTCATAGCAACATAGGTGTTCTGCTATTTTGGGTAAAATCTATATATATAAGATATGAATACTGATATGTGATAGTTGATCAGGGGCCCTTTATACTACAGCATTTTAACATATGGGTTCCCATGTGCTAAAACGCATGTGTTATGATTCACCATAATAAAGATAGTGAGGGGAATTCATCAGAATTGGAGCAGAGAGAATCTGGAGCAGTTGCCAATAGCAGACAGTCAGCTTCTATGTTTCATTTTCAAAGCTTACCTGAAGATATAAGCTGATTGGTTGCCATGGGAAACTGCTCTAGATTCTGCCTGGTCCTGTTTTGATACATTCCCCTCAGTGGGGGGAATTCATAATAACTGAAGCAGATAAAATAAGGAGCAGTTACCCATAGTGACCAATCAGCTTCTCTGGTTCCTTTTCAAACTGTACAAACTGAACTGAGAAGTTGACTTGTTGCTGTTGGCAACTGCTCCACATTCTGTCTGCTCCAGTTTTTCTCTTAATCCCATCTCAGTGCTGAATAAAAGCCTGGGGGGGTTTATTTTTGTCCTTTTATCTGTGTTGTAATGCACTTAGAGACCCATAGAAGCGAATGACAAAGCGTCAGCATGTCATGACAAAACGTGTTTTAAAACGTGTTTTAATGCGTTGGCAACAGGTATTAAAAAGTCTTGATCAATGGCTGTTTACACTATCTACTTCAAATATTCATTTACAAAATGCACTGAAAACTTGTATCAACGTGCATCAATAATGTCCACACACAAAGGAACTGCACGTTGAAGCATCACAACGTACCTGCGTACGGCTGCAAAAGCATGCACCTCGACGCAAACCGCTTAGATCTAAATCAGAGGTGCCCACAATTTTTTGTGTTAAGATCTACTTTTCAAATGACAAGCTACATGAGATCTACCAACGAAAAAAAAAACCTTCCTCACTCTCTCGCTCTCCTGGCTGTCTCTTCTTGCTCTCTCCTGGCTGTCTCTCCATTTCATCCTCCTTGCAGTCTCTCCTCTCTCTCCTGGCTGTCTTTCCTCGCTCTCTCTCTCTCCTGGCTGTCTCTCCTCTCTCTCCTGGCTGTCTTTCCTCGCTCTCTCTCTTTCCTGGCTGTCTCTCCTCTCTCTCATGGCTGTCTTTCCTCGCTCTCTCTCTCTCTCTCCTGGCTGTCTCTCCTCTCTCTCCTGGCTGTCTTTCCTCGCTCTCTCTCTCTCTCTCCTGGCTGTCATTCGTTTTCTCTCCTGGCTGTCTCTCTTCGCTCTCTTGGCTGTCTCTCCTTGCTCTCTCCCCTGGCTGTCTCTCCTCTCTCTCTCTGTCCTGGCTGTCTCTCCTTGCTCTCCTGGCTGCCTCACCTCTCTCTCTCTCTCCTGGCTCACCTTGCTGTATTTTGCAAACAGTGCAGTGCAACCGGCTGTGTAAACTAACATTCTTTGATTTAACCCCTTCGTGACGAAGGGGTTAAATCACACAAATCACACAACCCCGCCACAAAGGGACCAAATGACTCGTCACGTACAGTTATTTGCTGCACTAGAAGGCTGGTAACCGCTGAGAATCAGCGTTTATCATTCATTAATGGATGCCTAAGTTTAGAGGCATCCATTAATGAAAGGGTTAACCTTTTTCAGACACTCGATACCTTAATATCGGGTGTCTGAGAGTCACAGCAGAGCCGGCAAACATCCCTGCAAAAGCCGGCATTCTGATAGCTTGTATAGATCGAGATATCTCTCTCAAGCTATACTGGCTTTTTTTTTTTCCTTGCACTTTCAGGAATAGACACATAGGGGTCTATTCACAAAGCTGCCGAAGGATCTGGCCGTAGCTTCGGCCGATCCTTCGGCTAGCTTCGGCCCCAGGACCCCTTTGGTTCAGGAGAACCGAGGGGGTGCTGTACGGGCTAATACTATAAATCAAAACTGGGAAAAAACTTTTTTTAAGGTTTTTTCCTCTTTTTTTATATTTTATTTGTCCTAAGTGAGGCGCTAGACACACATATGTGATATAAATATATAGCCCTATCTGTCCTCTAAAAAACAATATATAATATGTGTGGGTGCACTTTGTAAGAAAGTATATTACTGACGTGGAAGAATCACACAGCAAAAATGTCAAAAGTGTGTCAGTCATTTACGAACAGAAACTAAAAACACGCTCAGTCATGAAGGGGTTAATACATAGCACTTCAACCACCAGTATCCACCAGAAAGGTGTCAGGGAGCTTGGCTCAGCAGACTCAGGCTAATAGGTAATCATGTGTGCACAGCAAAATAAATATACCAAAATGGAATAAAGGGGCCGCCATTCACACCCTTCGTGATCTACCTGCATCAGCTTTGAGAGCTACTGGTAGATCACGATCTACCTAATGGGCAC